TGGTGATGGGACGGAGGAGACATGACGAGTGAGGACCATAGGCTGCTTAGTTATTCCTGTTTAGTTTAAGTCATTGGTTAAGACCTTATGTTGTGGCCAATAAACGGTTTATTTGTATTTGAATAATTGTGAGATTTCTTTTTCCTTGTGGTTAGTTTTGCTTCAGGATAGGTGCCTATTTAAGTTTTATTCCATTTGTTTAGTTTCATATAGATTGAATAATAAACTTGCCTCGTGAAGTGGTTCACGAATGTTGTTGAATGTTATTCCATGAGATTGATTTATCGTTAAATTGATGAGGATTGAAACTTGATTTTATAAGTTTGTGTGCATAGAAAGTTGGCAAGATGTAGTCGGGGTTAAATTTGATTATTTGGGTAGTTAACGTGACCTAGAGGTGTGCAGAAAATTCTGGGTTGTTACAGCTGAAGACCACTGAGACTTATGGACACATGTGTACACCAAACATCATTTTTATGGACACATAATCGATCGCCGACATACAAGAATTATGAGTTTTTTCCAACGCTTTTATTCTCGACGCTGGGCAAACATCTTTTTCCTGATTAAAGACTAATAGTCGAGACTCTGCAGACTATTGACTAAAATAATCTGGAAAGGAATATATTTTCAACGCTTTTATTATCGACACTGGGTGAAGTTACTCTTACCGACGCTTTTGCCTAATAGTCGGGTAAAATTTTGTTTTTATACATTACCACTCCCGACGATTTTTGAAATAGAAGGGAGAGATTTCTAATCCCGACTATTTTATTATATAGTCGGTCAAAATTTATCTTAATTTTTTTAAATTACCACTCACTACTATTTTTAGAAAAAAAATTGGAATTGTGGACTTTACACCAATATTTTTATAAATTGTTGGGCGCTATTGTTTTTTAATTTTTTAAATATTATAATTCCCGACTATTTTTGAAATAGTCGGGACATATTAATATTCCCGACCATTCTAAAATAGCGTCGGTAATATATTTTTTTTAAATATTACAATTCCCCCGACCCTTTTGAGAAAGATGAGACTTCTAATGTTAGGGAAGAAGATATTGAGAAAGATGATTTGTGTAACATCCCAAGTTTTCGAGTTATTTTTATTTTAAGATTTAAATTGTGCATTTGGATTTTCCCTTGAGGATAATTAAATTACTGGATCTTCTAATTTAAGAGATCTATTTTTGCGTAAATTAGAACTTAAAGTCCAATCTCTCGTTAGATTGAGATGAATTAAGTTTTAAATTTTTTTTAAAGTGATTTGTTTTATTAAATCTTAATCCAATGTTTAGGGAATTCAATTTTTCCTTTTGTATTTCATGGTTGGGTTTTGAAAGTTAATTATTTTTCCCAAATCCTTTTTAGAGTGGGATTTTTTGTAACATAAAGAATTATAATTTATTTCAAATTTATTCTAAATTATTTCCTTTCATTTCATTTTGTTTTTTTTTTTCATTTTATTTTATTCTGGATTGACGTGAGTTTGTTATGAATTTTAATTCTAATTGTTTTGGTGTTTCCGGGTAACGCCCCCAGTTTTCAGGTTAATTTCTTTTTAAGATTTAAATCGAGCCTTTGGATTTTTCCCTAAGCAGTTAACTTAAATTCTTGGATTTTTCTAGTTTTCGAGTTCTAAGTTTTTGTAA